AGCTGCGCCGCTGCAATATAGCCCTGTGTGAATTCAGATGTTTTCCACCATTCAAATACGCAAAAATAGTATATTGAAGGCTGAAATGATTTTAAAATTTGACGTCGATTGATATACTTTGAATTTACATTTAAATAAAAAAATTTACTATTACCAGCCACATTTCACTGGTTGAACAATGCTAGCGAAAAGCAAACGTCTCGAAATATTTATTATTTAAAATAAATAATTGTAAATGCCGTGATATGGGATATGATACTTATTTACCAGTAGGATTTTTACTGTTTGCGAACTTAGGAATTCATAAAGTTAGTGATTCGAGCATCAACTGCATTTCCTTGAGACGACGGAATACCCTGTAGATTTTGTTTGTTCTTTTTACTGTATGGACAAATTCTGAATACATTTAAAATTCCACTATAGGAAATGGCGAGCCACCAAACATTTCGACGCGAGGAAGCGAATGAGATCAACTCGCTTGCCAGCGGCTCCACTTTTGTTTAATTAGAACTTGTGCTGCGCGGCACGAATGAGGCTGCGAAACTTTGTCAGGATTTTCCACGCTAATTTGGTCGTCGCTTGTGGCGAGTGAATGTAGCTCTCGTCGCTGCTCGGGCTCGTCCACGAATAGAAATTGCAAGCTTTGCAGAATTCGGCGAGCAGTTTCGAGAAATGTTGATGAATACTTTGATTTTGCGATGATTAAAGCAACTTTTTGCTGGAAAGAATTCAGGAGCTAGAAGAGTTGCGAAAAGTAAAATCAGGCGGAAACAACCAAATCTCAATAGATCTTCGAGCAGTAAACTTACCACGCATTCAAGTCTTTGTGAGTTTTGGCCATATTTTATGGGTAGTCTTAATTGCTTTGCATTTCAACTTTTCGTCGTGAAATAACATTTTCAGGAACAAAACCAGCTTGCCTATCTTACAGGTAATACCGAAGCAAAGGTTCTGGAAATTTTAGAATAACATTAGACGTATTTTGTGGAAAGAGACATTCAAATATATTTGCAATTTTAGCTAAATTTCCGAGAAGATAAACCATATTGTTGATATCGATAAACTTCTAGTCATTGACCCAAAAAATTAATTCAAAGCGTTAATTGAAATAGCAATAATAACTCAATGTTTAAAGCAATCCTTAGCAGGAAACATTTCAGGCTAATTAATGCAGGAGTTAATCCCTAATTAGCTTGTAGCAACACAACTGTAATCGGAATTTTTATCTGGAAATTATTTAATTTTCTTAAGTTTTTTAGTGTTAGAATGTAGAAAATTAGCACTAATGAGAACCATTCACATTTTTATGCGTTGTTGAGACTTTTTTTATTACAATTTATTTCCTTGCATATTGATTTGCCCTTGACATTGGCTCGAAGAGACTCGTTAATAATTTGTTCTACCTTACTTTACTCAGGCGCAGAAAATGGGATTGCGTTATTGCAAGTTAGTTTCTTAGATATTTAAATTCAATTTTTTTGTTATATGAGACTGTGTAAACTGCTCATAATATTTTATTTGATGCGCATTTTAATAATCTATATACTTTACGAATTGATGGAACAGGAAATTATTTTACGCACAATAATTCTAGAACACAATAAATATTTCGAGATGATGCTTACTAGTGATGATAGTAGACGTTCAGTTGATTTTATTTCCTGCTTTATAACTAATGTAAACCGAGTAGATTTATAATATAAAACGTTTTTCATGTAGTATATATATATATATATACGTTCGCTACCGGTTCGAATATTTTCCAGCAAGTTAAATCTTTTTCTTGTAGTCAGATCATTTCTGTGGAATTTCCGATGCCATGTCACTGGCGTCATTTTCTTTGAGTGTCGCTGACGCTCGAAAGTAATAAAAAAATTTACTTCCTCTGGGATTTAAAAATCTGTCTTTTTTATGGCAGCTCAATTACAGCGCATTTTCCTGCGCATTTTCCAAACTTTGTAGAGATTTGAAAAAATCGCTAAATTGGAGACTGGTCTCCAATTTTTACAGGACGAAATTGTATTAACTGATCTGACCATTAATTAGAATTGAATAATTATTTTAATGTCTATTTCTTGCTTGGCGTTTCACAATAGAATTTGGCTCCTAATGTTTGAGCTGGCGTAAATTTCGTTTTCCTCGTCAGTAACTGTGTCTTTGTATATCCAGCCCGCTTTGTATTGATTATCTTTGTATATCCCGATTAGTATTGATTCCCTTTGTATATCCAGCCCGTTGACCCTTTTTGATCTATAATATTTTTAGTATAAACATTTTGCACCTTTGTGCAATTTTGTACTACATATCAATTATACATCTTGCGTATCATTAATCGAACTTTTTTCCATTGTATCCCGTGAGAAATCACTGATGCCCTCCGCTTAGTCAAGACGTCTTTGTCTCACTGATGTTGCCAGCCACTCCTGCCGCGCCCAATCACTGTAATGTATTCAAGGGTCGATGCCTTAATGTCCCCAGACATCAACTCAAGAATGCCCAGTGAGTGGTGGCCTCAGCACACAAACTGGCCTTGCCCGTACGAGGGAGTTGGTAATTAATTGAGTTGCTAGGCAATTAAGTAGTTTATCAATTGAGTTAATTGGTAGTCAGTTGAGTTGGTAGTCAGTTGATTTGTTTGTCAATTGAGTTAGTAGTCAGTCGAGTTGTTTATCAATTGAGTTGCAAGTCAATCAACTTTTTATGATGGTAATCAATTGATTTATTAATTATTCGTATTGGTATTAAATTGTGGTTTTAGCAAAATAACTGGGCAATCAAAAGTGTGTGTAATTAATTAAGTTAACGAATCAAGTTAGGGTTGATGAATTAAGGTGGCGCTCTCTACAGTAGGTAATAAATTAAGATGGGAAAATCAGTTCAATATCAATATTCTTTGTTATCAATTGCGTAAGTAATTTATTTTTATTGTTCTCGACGATGCTTCCATGTTACATGCTGTATAGGGACCATCCGAGGATCTATTACTGGTGTGTGGTGTCGATTAGATTGCCGATATTTTCTGGAATATTGACTTCTCTGAAGTTCAACTGCTTATGGTAGATGAGATCATGCAACAATTATCTTGAAAAATTTCTCTTGATAAAGAAATTTTCGACATTCTGAGAACCGGAATCATTAAATCTTGACATCTATGAGCTGCGATCAAATGAACGGACTTAACATTGTTCTTTATGCATGTAATTAGTTGTGCAATAGCCATTAGCTCTCGAGATTTTTATCCATAAATATTTCGTATAAAAATCTCATTCCGATATAAAATTAATATTTCCCGCATTAAGTATTGGCTTTCAATTATTGGGTTGTAATGCTATCGGCCTTGATGTTTTGCCAACACAGCTATAGGAGCACTGCTGTGTGGCATGGCTTTGTGGCAAGGCTGTGTGGCAAGGCGGTGTGGCAAGGCTGTGTGACAAGGCTATGTGGCAAGGCTGTATGGCAAGGCTGTGTGGCAAGGCTGTGTGGCAAGGCTGTGTGGCAAGGCTGTTGGCAAGGCTGTGTGGCAAGGCTGTGTGGCAAGGCTGTGTGGCAAGGCTGTGTGGCAAGGCTGTGTGGAAGAGGCTGCGTGCCTCAGGCCAGTTCTATGTCGGCCGTAAATCTGCAAGACAAAGCAAATCTGTATGACCTTATCTCGACGCAGCTCTAACTCTCTTCTGCACCGCACGCTCCCTTTGTCGCCTTCTTTCTCTCTCTTTTACTGCGCTTCTATGCCTTCCAATTCTCTCCCCTATCTTTCGTCGGAGATTTCTTCCTGTTGGCTGCCTGATTATTTTATTTTGATATTTTACTGTTATACTAAGGTTTATTTGATGTGCTCTGTGCTATTCATTTGTGCCGTTCTTTCACTTAATTATTACTTTATGATTCACTTACATGATAAAGCCCTGACATCTTCAAATACTATTATTTTCTTTTAACTTTTTTATCTCTTATTTTTCTTGTCCCGCAGCATTCCTTATTCAGTTTCTCCTCTCGTATTTTCCGTCATTTAACAATAATATATGTCATAAATTTCATTAATCGATGTTCTGTATCGACGTCATGCATCGTTCTCCCACATAATAATAGTGTAGTGAATTCAAACTTAAGGGCAACTTCCAATTAATAGTTTAAGAATAAAGGCTAAAACTAAAAAAGTTGCATAAAACGTTTTACTGAATAGAAGTCCTAGATAAACAAAACAGAACGTTTCGGGCTATGCCCATCATCAGCTAGTAAAATACATCTGGAAATACATGGTAATCAATTTTAGTAAATAAATTTAGAAAATTATAAGGAAAGAAAGGAATTTTAGAGTCTCTCTACATCCATAAACTTAAACCTAAATTGAATAACCAATCCAGCTCTTTTCCTCTTTTGATTCTAGGTCAATAGTTGTGTTTTTTTTTCTTTTCTTCCTTATCATTTTCTAAATTTATTTACTAAAATTGATTTCCATGTATTTCCAGATGTATTTTACTAGCTGATGATGGGCATAGCCCGAAACGTTCTGTTTTGTTTATCTAGGACTTCTATTCAGTAAAATGTTTTATGCAACTTTTTTGGTTTTAGCCTTTATTCTTAAACTGAGAAGAACTCCTCGAGATATTGTGAACCAATTAATAGTGGAGTGAATATAAACTTTATTCTAACTTCCACTTTATTTTCGTACGTCTGTCACACGCACTTGTTCCCCTGTACGTCTGATTGCAGCGCACGGTTGACAATCACTCTGTTGTGCAGGTGAAGCCATCCATGCCTTCCTCCGTAACTCATACGCGGAATTCCAATAAAGTCCTGATTGATTTCCACCCTCGTCGATGAAACGTGGAAATGTGATCTTAAATACAAGAGATTCTATTCACCTGCAGCCTCAGACATGTAAATTTTATAATTTCTGAAGGATTTTCCATTATTTTCTTTAGATTTATGAATTATTTTTAGAAGTGCAGCGAAAAGGTTTACTTAATGATTAATAAAGTTATTCGAATTCGTTTACAGTAACCTCGCCATGGCAGAGTATACGATGAGCCTTCCTCGCATCAGGGCTGGTGAGTAAAAACTATTCGATCAATATATTTATTATATATTTTAGCATATAATTAACTGTTGTTAGGTTCCCAGTCTAATTTATTGATGTTATATTTTACCATAAAGTTTGTGAATGAATATATTTCGTCGTGTAGAGTAAATAAATTGCTCTACTATACAAATGTAATATTATGTGTAGACTGAATAATGTTTTTTTCTAACAATTCTTAAATATTTGAATTCTTGGGTGCATTTCTAAAGCCGCGGTGTTTCTGGTGGTGGACACGTCTAGCCGCCCTAGCAAAGCTAAGGGCTTTGGAAGCGCCATAGATTTACAGTTAAAGGTTATAGTAATAAGTCTTAAACTACAGCAACAAGTTATTAGTTAAGGGCGATTAGTTATAGCTCAAAGTATAGGAATAAGGTATATTTATAGCGACAAATTTAAGTGCAGGTGTAGGTGCTTATGGTATTCAAAGGAATTCTGCACATGATCAACGGTAATAGAATCTCAGATCCAGATAATCAATATTGATCACCACTACAACCAAAGGCACATTTATTCTATGAGTTTATAGTCTTCATTTATGATGTATAAAACATTAACAATTATATCTGCATTATACGCAGCGATCTGGGCTCTGCCTGACTCATCGTGGGCTTGCAGTTCTGCTAGGAGGCGAACCATTAACGATTAACCGGTCAAAGTTGTCGATAGTTTAGAGTAAATAATATATCAGAAAGTTTTGAATCTCTCCGACATTTTATAGCGCGTAAATGTCTTTTATTCAAATTTTGAATATAACTGCTGCTATGAGGAAGATAGTAAAATTCGTACTAAGATTGTGTTCGGTTTGGAAAAAGATTCCCACACTTATGTATGTTTATGTTGTCATCGACCCCATAGGGAAGTCACGACGTTTGTCAAACGCCATGCGGGAGAATCAGGAATTTTTTAATTAAAAGATTAACTAGACTTGAAATTTTAAAGCGAAGAAAACTACACAAAAATTCAGCGTATCTCTATTGAAAACGTTTCGAAGTCCAGCTGCTCCATCGTCAGTTCGATAATTCTAGAACACAAATACAATCAGACATTAATAAAGTTTGGATTCAAAAGAAAAAATACATTAGTTAAAAACCTAAATTTTCAGGCAGAGGGCAAAGTAATAAAGTGAATACCTATCTATTCACAATATCTAGTGGATAAGAACGAAAGGATGGACATATCTCTTTTGAAACGTTTTCAAAAGAGATATGCTAAATTTTTGTGGAGTTTCTTCGCTTTTAATTTTCTAGTCAATCTGCGATTCAAACAATCTGGTGACATTAATACTAGATTAGACTAATTTTATTTACACATTAATTGCCTATAATTTATTAGCGTATATGAGGAAAATGTCATTCTTCCTTTGTCATTTGTCAGTTAAATGAAAGTGTTCGTTAATAGAATTCTTTGGTACGTGCGAATAAATTAAGTTTGCGTTCGATTACATTTTCGAGTATGTATCCTGTTCGCCCAAAAAGAGACAAAAAAAATTAGAAATTCGCTTATTTTCTTTCTGTTCATATTAGTTGTGTCCGATGGCTTTACTTCAGTCTCCCTCCATCATTTTCATAAAGAAAATTGTAATACCAGAAGAAAATTTTTGATCAATAACTTCGTTATTTCTTCACATTCCACTCTGTTCATTCGTGAATGACTTCGTAATTCATAAAACCGTGTTCAGGTCGCTAGAAAATAGTACTAATAATCATTAGTAACATTACAGAAATATATCTTCAGTCTTTATTCTCACATCAATGATTTTCAGGTCAGTTTCTGTTGGTTATACATCTCCGCATCTCCAACTAAGACATAGTTAAATTTTAGCATTAAAATCCGAGGACTTTTTCAGTAAACTTATAACAATAAATGATGATTATTAATTTAACAGCTTTTACTTTATTTGTTTGCATTTCAAAACGAATACTTTCCTCACTGCCATCAATCACGATAAATTAAAAATGAGATCACAACGCCATAACCAAATCTGCATTTGCACAATTTTCCATCCATTAAGACTCAACCATAAAAAGTTTGTGAAATCGAGATTCGCATTCCGATTGAATTTATATAACGTGGAGTTTTACTGAAAACTTTGGTCGTGTTTATTTATGAGGATTTGAGGGTATGTGAGCAGTTTCTGTGTTATTTTATTTTTAATATACAGCACAACTGTGTGTTAATAGTGCATATAAAACAAAGACTAGGCGCGAAGAAAAGAATGTGCAATCATCTTTTACGATCGTAGATATAAAGTGTTGTGGGACTGCAGTTGTTAAGTGTGACAAATACTGTGGCGTGTGGCAGCTGCGGTGGCATGTGGCAGATGCGGTGGCATCTGGCAGCAGTGGTAGCATGTGGCAGCTGCGGTGGCATGTGGCAGCGGCGGTGGCATGTGGCAGATGCGGTGGCATGTGGCAGCGGCGGTGGCATGTGGCAGCTGTGGTGGCATGTGGCAGCTTCGTTAGCATGTGGCAGCGGCGGTGGCATGTTGCAGCTGCGGTGGCATGTTGCAGCTGCGGTGGCATGGGGCAGCGGCGGTGGCATGTGGCAGATGCGGTGGCATGTGGCAGCTTCGTTGGCATGTGGCAGCTGCGATGGCATGTTGCAGCGGCGGTGGCATGTGGCAGATGCGGTGGCATGTGGCAGATGCGGTGGCATGTGGCAGCGGCGGTGGCATGTGGCAGATGCGGTGGCATGTGGCAGCTGCGATGGCATGTGGCAGCGGCGGTGGCATGTGGCAGATGCGGTGGCATGTGGCAGATGCGGTGGCATGTGGCAGCGGCGGTGGCATGTGGCAGATGCGGTGGCATGTGGCAGCGGCGGTGGCATATGGCAGATGCGGTGGCATGTGGCAGCTGCTGCGATATTTGAGAAATACTATGGCATGTGGCAGCTGCGGCCATTGCCACACGCCCAAGAGGCGCCGTGGCTGCCAAGTGCAGTCGACCTCGCATACTTGCAGCGCCGCTTTTTAGTCTGCGATTCCGATACGCAGTTGAGCGAAAATTTCTATCCCAGGAAACTATGTTTTATACATATATTGGTTAACGTTTGTTAGTGTGTTTATAGACAGAAGACGCAAAAATATAGGGGCTGTTGGGGTGTCATGATACTTATCTTGTAGAAATATTACTTAGACCTGACAATTTTTTTCAATGGGGGAAAATATTAATAAAAATAATTCAATTTTCATAGAAATTGCATGGATAAGAAGCAAAATATTTTTTTTCGTCGTGTTTTTTTCGAAACGCGAGTCTAGTCTATATTGTATATAAAATATGCCATCATTTTTTGCGAGATTCTTAGAGACAGGTTTCGGGATAACTCGGTTCTAGAATTGCAGGAATTATTGATCCTGGACAATGCCGGTCTATCCTGCTAGTTTATTATAATCAAATTAACATTGTTTAGTCTATATTTTCATTCCAGCAAATGTAGCATTTCTTTTTCCCTTTATTTATTCGGTGATGATCTGGGTATGTTGAAATAGAATGAAGCTATTTACGATAATTATTAAAAGATTTGAACTCGCTTATATTTTAGAGAAAAACTTGAAACTTAAATGCGTTTTCAATTTATTATGCGTAGGGAGTTAACTTTAGTCAAAAAATTAATCAAGATGGATGACAAATTCGATCGTTCACAAAGAATGGAGAATATTCCTCTACATGACTATTTTTAATTAAAACAAAAAAAAAAATACATTAGAAGATAAATTAAGTAGGAACAATGCTATACGAACAAGGAACGAGCAACGTTTTTTATATATGCTAGTTATGAAAGTAAATTTTTAGGTGAGCATCAAATTCTGACTGTTTGCGAATAAAAAATTAATATTTTTAGTGGTTCTTCGCGCATTGTGGAGTTGTACTCAAACAAGCTTGGCGTTACGCACAATAGCGTGTCAGTTCCCCAATCCATCCTCCCTAAACAAACGTACGACAACTTGGACATTTGCAATGATTTGTTCAAATTACAGTGACTTAGTTCTTATTTAGAATAGAGAGTAGACTATACACGACAGTTTTTTTTTATTTTATGGGCACATTTGTACCTAAATCATTATAATTTAAGACACAATTTCTAATAAAGGAGGGTTTTTTTTGGTGCGACTCTCATGGTATGCCAGACGTAGAATGTCTAACAGGTGGGAGGCCTATAGCGCTGTTCCTGCGTTCACGCACTGTGGGTTTCAAGCTATACAGTTTTTTATCTTGAATGCATTCTAGATGCTTTTCAATGTATATCAAATTGTTTGTGAAACAAGACAATGCCTGCTCGAACATTTTTTCATGAATCAATCATTTCCGGGTAATAATTTTAGATCGGGCATTACACAGGTTGAATTAATTTTTTCCTACTGCCCCTTATTCATAAATGCATAAATTCTTGTGTGAAAGTCATGAAGTATTATTAACATGAATTATCCGGATGGCATACATATTTATTTACTGCATTATTCAGTGGGTGTTTTTATTAGAGATGGTGTTTCCCTTCGCAGCTGCACCGAAATTTCCCTCTCAGTGTCGTGCCTGAACTCGTGGGGTGAGGTTCTATTCCCGTGCCGCTCTTAGTTTCCATATTCGTTTTGCTCTTGGATTATTTCCTGACGCTTGTGTGGGTCACAGTTTTTCCCTGCAACTTTTATTCGACGTGTGCCGAGGATTAGGACAAGAATCTGTCTCTGCAGCGGCACTCGGTATGTCAACACCACTCGAGCTCGTAATTTATATGTGTACGATTCATATGTAGAAAATGCAGCAGTTTTATTTTATTTTCAGCTTATTCATGTAACATAAAGCGCGTATATTTTATTTTTGATATGCATTATGCAATAAAAAAAATGTATAGGAATGCAACTGATTGAAATTTTTATGTTAATTTGCGATCTTTTCCTTGCTTGCAATGCAAAATTTACAATTTAAATTAGGCAGCAAAACAACTTTGAGGGCATTCCAGCATGGATCTAGT